ACAAAGCATTATTAGTAGCTTATATGAGTAGGCCTGTATGCTTACTGCGAAATCTTGTAATATTTCTTATAGCCTTGATAATATGAATAATAAAAGGCCTAATTAGAATTCACGGATTTCACAGATTTTTAGATGACAGTTGGCTCTATAAGAGACTGTCAGGATAATTATTGTATGCTTAAATGTAGGTGCAGTCTATTGACCCCCCCCCCCAATCAAATCTGTCGTACAAATCCTCAGCGGGTACATAATACGTAATAGTTAGATGGCCCTTTGTTTTACGTAATAGTAAGATGGTCATTTGTTTTACGTAATAGTAAGATGGTCATTTGTTTTACGTTGACAAGGTGCGGCTGGGGGGGGGGGTTATAAATATTTTATACAACTTTTTAAAGTTTATTTTGCGTACCACATATGTTATGCATGAATGTCATATTTCCCAAACAGCTTTGGCGTTCGAATTTGGCTACATTGACGGGTGTGCACATTGCCTGATTTTAATGTTACCATTAATGGAATCAGCGATCCTTTTTTATTTTCGGTCCCCTAGTTTAGTTTACTTAGTGAGTATTTTATGATATGGCCTCGACACAAAGAAAGGCACGCGAAACCGATGACGAAGAAGAAACTTCTACTTCTACCGATAAACAACAACTTCAACAAAAGATAAAGAAAGTTGATAGTCTTGCTTGAATATGAGACACAATTTACTGTGTTGAGGTCTTCATAGAAGGGTCCATCATACGCACTGCACATTCTGCAAGTCGGACTTTTCAGTAGCAATCAGAGGCAAAATGAGTGGTGTGGATTTAGGAGATAGTGTGTATGGCGCGGGTCTAAATATTTAAATCTATAAAATCAACTCCGCCACCTACATTTTCGTAATGTCAGTTTGTGGGGTGTGGAAAGGGGGGGGGGGCAGGATATTCCTCGGCAGAAAGTACATGCGGTATTTAAAAATACTACAATATTCATCCCGAAACTCTGAAAGTCCTAAAATAGCACATTGATATTTACCAGCCTATGTTTGCAGGAATTACCGTCGTGATGTTGTCAAGATGTATTTTCACAAATGAACTCGCTAGCTATACCTAAACTCAGTATTAGAGAAATTACAGTAATGTTTAGTCCACCGAATGGTAAGGCCACGTGTTACGTATAATTCGGTGGGCTACGCCAGTGGTTCTAAAATTTTCGTTTCCCTGCGCCTATGCCACACTACGTTTTCACCAGGCTCCCTGTGTTGAATTCTATCATGTACAATTCGAAATAGCGAATACACAAATAAAATAAAGGTTGGATAAAAATAAATATAACGTGTATGTAGGTCACTGAGCGCCATCGGGAAATGCAAACAGCAATTGCTTAGTGAGTTACTGTTTGCACCACGACCGAAAGTTGTCACATTGGTTTAAAAGTGAAAATAAAATAATGAATTCTTAAAAATATTTCGCAACGCCCCGATGAGGAAGCCGCAGCCACCGAGGGCAACGAGCACCCAAGGCGATGTGGCGTTTATTCTGGGAACCACTGGGCTGAATCACCAGTAGTGAAAACCCGTGTCACATTTTGTTTACTGTAACATCATAATATACAATGGATTTTGTTAAGTTTATGGGGGGGGGGGGGGGGCTGGGCTGGTGTTTTAAAGCTCACTGTACCGTACACACAAAAAAGGTGGGGGTTCCAATTTGTTACCGGGTAATTCATTCTTAATTTAATACATTTTATTTTATGCTTATCAGACGTCAAGTTTTAATATGTATTAGCCGATACACGTCTGCTAAACAAAGTGACCGCAGTTTGCCGTTAACGTCAGTCATCTACTGTTTACCTACAGTTCCATATTTTGACGCCAGCTCAGCTCGATTCCACTGAACACGCTATAGGAGTAGTTATTGTATACATTATATATACTGTATTTTTATTTATTTACTATCAAAATACTGCATTGTACGATTTTGAGACCATATTGTACGATTTTAGGAGTTTGGGGGTAAACAGGTCTGTGTTTATTGTTTTGATTTTTATAATGTAGCGTATAAAATTGTTTGCCACAGAAAATGTGAGGAATCAAAAGCCAAGGTGAAAGATGAGCCTAGTGACTGGGATAGGTTTCAAGGTCATGACCGTGTGACTGAAGTAAAGGCCATGTCTGATTCCCTGAATGAATTAAAGACAGGTTTTAACCTGGATAGGTTCAAGGACAAGTTGGCGCACATTCCAGCAGGTGTGTAAATATCATACGGGTTGTATACCTCTGATTAGGTTGGCACACATTCCAGCTGGTTAAAATGACATGGGTTGGATATCTGAGAGGTTGGCAAATACAGTATAAGTTATAGTAAATAATTTTTGTCAAGAAACACATTTAGATGGTCCCTGATTACAACTTCTCATCATCATTGACAGATACCTTTGAAACATGGTATTACAAATTCTGGAATAGTTCTCCTAGTCAGAAAATGCAAATTTTATACTTATAAATTTATATGTGAAGTGAAGATAAAAAGTACTACCTTTTTTTTTTTTTTTTTTTTTTTTTTTGGATATAAGAACCTTGAGTTGTTTTTTGTGTGTGTTTTTTTTAACACCCCCCCCCAACCAAACCTGATTACAGATAGATGAAGTCAACGATTATTGATTATCTTCACTCACTTGTTGCAATGATTAATCATCTCTATTGAAATCTACACTAGTTTGGGTTTAAAATCTACCCCATTCTTGCCGACTCTTTAAGTTGTGAAACACCTCTGCACCCTGAAACATTTCTTTTGTACTGTCAAATCTTGAAGTTATTCATGGCAGTGGAGTTACTCATAAAGACCATTGTCTAACCTAGGATGATGTTTTATTTCAGACTGGACAGTTTTACAAATGACTTGTGTCAACTATGACCCTTTAAACCCCGGGAGGGGATCCATTTTTATGACAAGGATGACCTCTGACCTTGAACCATTGACCCTGGAGCTTCCGCACAGTAGATGGAACTCAGTGAGTCTGTGTTTGAATTAGCTTCTTTGTGTTATTGCAATAAAGAAATTAAATAAAATTTTAATTTTAAGAATTATGTGGTATATTGTACTTATAGAATTATTAAAGTTAACAATTAGTAAAATATTTGTAAGATGAAACTCTGCATTGTATCAGATGATTAGGTATTTTATTCTTCCTCAATAGAAACGTCTATTTCCATTGTAATCAGCAGATAAACAGGAGAATGGGGCACTTATAATAAATTTTACCCATAACTCTGAATCTTGGTCCAAAAAAAATCCGCCATAATTAGAAGAGGATGATTCAGAAAAATGTATAACCGCTACGTTGGGTATTATGACATGGAACTTAATGAACTGCATTTATGGATTTATGGATCTCAAACCTGACTACTCATGATAGAATTTTTTTTAAAAATATTCTGCTGCAAGCTCACTTTTTCTGACATCCTGCAAAGACTTTCATTTTACTGGTGAGAATCCAGCTTTTTGTATGGCTGCTGGCAAACATTCTTGGGCTGCTGGCTCTCACATTGAAGTGATTGAATCGCTTGCTGGCTGTATAGGGCTGTTTCAGGGTGGTGATTGAATCGCTTGCTGGCTGTATAGGGCTGTTACAGGGTGGTGTGTGAATCGCTTGCTGGCTGTATAGGCCTGTTACAGGGTGGTGATTGAATCGCTTGCTGGCTGTATAGGGCTGTTACAGGGTGGTGTGTGAATCGCTTGCTGGCTGTATAGGGCTGTTACAGGGTGGTGTGTGAATCGCTTGCTGGCTGTATAGGGCTGTTACAGGGTGGTGATTGAATCACTTGCTGGCTGTATAGGGCTGTTACAAGGTGGTGACTGAATCACTTGCTGGCTGTATAGGGCTGTTACAGGGTGGTGATTGAATCACTTGCTGGCTGTATAGGGCTGTTACAAGGTGGTGACTGAATCACTTGCTGGCTGTATAGGGCTGTTACAGGGTAGTGATTGAATCGCTTGCTGACTGTATAGGGCTGTTACAGGGTGGTGATTGAATCACTTGCTGGCTGTATAGGGCTGTTACAGGATGGTGACTGAATCACTTGCTGGCTGTATAGGGCTGTTACAGGGTGGTGTGTTTTAATAAATTTAAAACATATTGCAGAAATCAATATATTCTAATCAATTCATAATGTATTTTTGTACTTCTCAACCACATTTTTATAATTGCAGACGACATGAAGAGGGGGGGGGGGTGATCATCATAAATTAATAATGTGATTTAAGGTAACTCTTTTGTTTCTATCCCCTGCAGCTGATGGCAGCCATGAGAGTTTATGAGGAAGCCATCGTACATGATTTAAAGCCTGAAGAATACTGGCCTATTAGATTCAAGAAAGATGCAGAAATGAAAGTAAGCATTCACTTCAGTGGTTCTCAACCTTCCTAATGCCACGGCCCTTCAAAACAGCTCCTTGTGTTGTGGTGACACACACACCACCACCACCCAAACCATAAAATTATTTTCGTTGCGAACGGTTGAGAACTGCTTATTTAGTTGAGGAGTGGTTACTTTTCTTTGATTAGTATGTGGATATTACTTAGAAGTGTAAACAATTAAACATTGCTTCATTCATTACATTTATCATGAGTTTACTTTACAATGAAATTATAATAAGTGTTCCTCAGACCAACATGACTCAAATCATTTTACATGAACTTATTCTAGCCCAGGCCTCTTGTATATTATTAAAAGGTGTCCGATATAATGATGTAAAAATACAAATGTGTTCACAGTGAGAGTCAAACAACTTTATTTTGTAGGTCAAGAAGAGAATCCATGAATTAATAATTATGGTAGAAAAATATTATGTCAACTTATGAATGTAAACATCTTTTTAACATTAGGAAATAGTGGAACAAGATAATGTAAGGCTTGAAAATGAATAGACCTTCATACGACTTGAATCCAGTCCCTGATGTATTATTCTTTAACTCTAACAGAATACTTGTCTTTACCATCATCTGTACCCTTTATGTTTTCAGAATATTGTTGTCTTTCTACAAGAGGTGGTTCTCTCGGCCCACAAGTGGTTGATGAGAGGTCAAGTGGGTTCAGTGGGCGGGAAAACCGTTGCTGAACTGTTGGAGATGCCCGTGCGCAGCACTGTTGAGCTGGTACAGAAACAGACAGGGTACAGCCTGGACCGCAACACTGTCAGGGTGAGTGTGTTTTGGGGGGGAGGGGGGGGCAAGACGCACCATTAGGTTAATATCACTTGAGTAATACTGTTATAATCACACCATTAGTGTGACACCAATAGAGTGACACTCATGGAGAAACATCATTAGAGTAACATCCCATATATTATTAGACCATACATGTAACCTGGTGGTAAAAGATCTGTTGCTCATGAGCTTTTGAACGTGATGTAGGTCATCTTTGAGGTTCTCCTGTGTGCCCATGAGAAAGATCTGGAATCTCTGATGGAAGCTGTGTGGCCGTCAAAAGTCGCCCAGCTGGTCAAGCAGACTTTCCTCGAGGTCCAGGTCGAGGTGGCCCAGTTGTGTGGGTCAGTGGTTGAGGTCACCAGAGGTCCAGTGGTGCTTGTCCTAGACAAGGTTAGGAACTGTTATTAAAAAGTATAACAAGAGATTAGATGTCATGTAATATTGTATTCTAAAATTTTCCTTTATTACCTTTAGTAGGGTCAGGAAGACCGGTGACTTTCTCAGTTCTTACATTTTTTTGGCCCACCTCCTAGATTCATGAATATAAATCGGTGTGGTCCTTGAATATTCCTAATAAATTAAATTCAGCTGATCTCTTTTTCATGAATGCCCAGCTGCAATATATTTTCTTTATATATAAATACCGTATAAATGATTTGTGCTATAAGATTAATAAAACAAATGTTGGCACTATTCAACTATTCATCTGTGCGCTGGATTGTTTTAGACACTCAACAAACTACCATGGGAGAGCATGCCTGAAATGTTGTCTGAAACAGTTTCAAGAGTGCCGTCCCTCAGCTCCCTACTAGCCTTGCTGACACTACACAAGCAGAAGAAAGATTCCTCCTTCAGGTGTGGTGTGAAGCGTGACAGTGTGGTGGCCCTGGTAGATCCAGAGACCAACTTGTCCAATGCCGTCAACGTTCTACTGCCTCAAATTCAGGGGTAGGTTTTTTGTTTGTTTTTTTTTCAAACAGAAGTGACCAGATTTTGTAAATATTTTAAAGTTCTTTTATAAAAAGGATTTGTATTTTAATTAATCAGATAGTTATAAAGCAAAGCATTATTTATCGGTCATGAATCTATAAGGCTGCAGTGCCACTGTGTCCATGTTTCATCGAAATACAAAACTGACATACAAGACCGCATTGCAATTGATCGTATCCGATTTTATCATTGTGACAACAGCTTTGACTTTTTATGGCTAGTGTTCAGCTACAGTCAACAAACAGATTTATTATGGTGGCAAACTAAACATATAAACTTTGTAATAGCTATGAATTCTTTCTCTTACAACTTACAGTTACAAATTGTAGCTGTAAATCCAATGTTGAAATATGACCAGCCTAATACCATTATTAATTAACTTGGTAGGCCATTCGCATGACTTTATACTTTTATTGATCCAAGTAAATGGAAATTAGTTTTAGCTCATCTAGGCAGTGAACGGGCAGAGAAATACCATTGGTCGGGGACGATCCATAATTATATTTCATACACAACTGACTTATAAGAGCGACTTATAAAAGATAGTATGTTATTCCTTTCCTCAGGTTCAAAGGCTGGTCTTGTTTGGCTCAGAAAGCTCCAACTGTGGCCAACTTGAAGGATTTCCTCACAAATTATGATCTGTATCTGTAAGTATCTGGTTTGACAATGGACTGTGTATGAAATCACATTTACATTTTATGGTAGTGGTTTTGGCACCTTATCTTAAATGTTGTAATGAGATGACAAGTGTCGGGCAAATAAAGTTATTTGTCATAATTCCACTCTGTAAGTTTTACAATAAAGACTTATCTTTTAAACTATCTCTCATCGGAAAAAAACTTCTCAATACTCAAGTTCAAGAGCTTCTGTAAATCCTGAACTGTCCTACAATTTCTTTAAATTTGATATTAATGATTATGAATTTATTATTTAGTGTTCATGAACTCGGAGGTTTCTCTTAAAAACACACCATCGTACATCTGGTTCCTTTCATCCACAGTTACTCTGGTCACGGCTGGGGAAACCAGTTTGTGGGTGGTGATGACCTGCAAATGTTTCACGCCAAGGCTGTTGCCGTGGTGATGGGGTGTAGCAGTGGCAGGCTGGATTACAAACCAAGGTTGGATGGCGATGGCGGACCTTTGTATTTTCTATTGGCAGGATGGTGAGTTGATTTTTCTTTTTGTCCAAGAATTATTGCTGTGTAGGTAGTGCTGGTTATGACAATGGGGAATGTTTTGCCATTATATTTGTTGATTTTGTAATTTCTAAATAATATTTCTTTGATAAGGACTCTGATCTGACAATGAAAAATGGTTATTCATTTAAGTTCAATTTCTCAGGTCTAAGTAATTTTGCCTTGGCGGACATTTTCATAAACGAGAGATACTTAGTTTTTATTCAAAGCCAGGTTTTGCTTTATTTTATCATGAAACAATTTGCATACTGAACATGATTTATCAGAGATGCTTATAATCCAAGTAATAAACCCTGGACTTAGTGTGAATTATTTTTTAAACATGTTTATCAAAGTGATGTAAACCAGGGTTTATTACTTGGATTATACGCATCAAAAATGAAGCTGTAGTATTGTATACCTGACTCCCATTGACAAAACGTTCTGTTTAGTTTATTGTTTAAATCTCATGGTAAAAAAACTGACTCTTTTTTATGTAATAATGTTTGATTTCATATATCTAGTATCTTTGTACTTTTGGCCAACATATTTTTTTTTTAGCATACCGGTAATTATTTATTATTTTTTAATTTTCTTTATTTAATTTTTTTTAAATCTTTTAAAATGATACTTTTTTATTAAATCTTCACAGTCCGACGGTCATGGGTAACCTCTGGGTGGTGACAGATAAAGACATTGACAAGTTCACCTTGAAGCTTGTAACAGAATGGATGGCCCAGGACAGGCCAGTGCCTCTGAGTGACCTGCTGAAACAAGCAAGACAAGTTTGCCGTCTGGTGGGGCTGAATGGATTTGCTCCAGTGATTTACGGCTTACCGATCATGATGAACAATTAAGAACCAAGTCATGTGACGAACAAAAAGTTAATCATGTGACATATTTGAAATACTGATGTGGGGGGGGGGGAGGATGTTATAACCTTTGATCACTTATGATTAATTTATGAATAACTTAGGATTTTTGTTTAATGTACAAGAATTTGAGAAGAGGTGTCAGTTTTATCAAACATATTTTTTAATCAACATGTTTCTTTTTTAAGTTGATCGTCTCATCACATTTACATTGCATTTTTTATTGACAGTAAATAATGAGAAATTAGTATTATATTCAAGTACCTCTACCCATGTAATGATTGAATTATTTATACATAATAATAAGTGTCCTGTCATTGTGAATGAACCTTCCAGGCTTGTGTTTGAAATGTCTTTCATCTTTCAATAACATTTCCTATGTTAATTATTAATATCCACATAACATATGAGAGCATTTTTGGTCTTGATGATGGCATTTCCTTTATGAACCATTGATGATACCAAGAACATTTTTAGTCACTTTATGTTTTAGTTGAAAGTATTACAATTGGTTTTTTGTTAATATATATAATTAGAATAAATACATTCATACATGTTTATACATTGATTTTTACTTTTGCTGTTAAATGTGCATTATAATTTCTAGGTTTCTGAAGTCACCCAAACTAGTTTTTTTTTATGCCAAGAGCATTTTATAATAAATCCTGTAACGTTGATTCAACACAGTTTTAGTTTAAATATTTTTAAAATGAAAATAATAAATGAGAAGTAAATGTTGTAATATATTATTATTATTTTAATGCACAGAGCTCATTAAAAGCTTTTTTTTAATGTAAAACTTGGTTTGATCAGGGAGGATTGTTTAATGACGTTAGCTCAAATAGGATTGCTAAAATAAGTTACCTCAACCATATTACTCTTGTATTTGCTGGCATTCTTTTAACAGTTCTCATTTAAAAGTTTAAGTATTAAAAAAAATGTCAGAGATTACACCATCAATTATGCAGTACTAAAGAGGAGAATCTCTCCGGCATGATGTCATATACCAAATTCCTATGGCCATAGTGTTGTCCATTGTATACAGCTCCCAACATGAAAAGACAATGAAGCCCATCAGTCTATTTGAATGACCATGCCTCAGTTTGTTTTAATGACCATGCCCCAGTCCATTTCAATGACCATGTCCCAGTCCATTTCAATGACAATGCCCCAGTCCATTTCAATGACCATGCCCCAGTCTGTTTCAAAGAAGCCCATCAGTCTGTTTGAATGACCATGCCCAGTCTGTTTCAATGACCAAGCCCAGTCTGTTTCAATGACCATGCCCCAGTCTGTTTGAATGGCCCTACCTCACTGTTTGATCATTTGATAAAAAATAATTGTTAGATATTACCTGCTTTTCTGGAACCTTAGATAACAAATGTAGTTATGTTGCCCAAATTGTTGTTAAAGTTTACTTGCATGATTGTGAATGCATTTTTATCCTGTAATATATTATTTAATACCAAGAGTCTCAATAAAAATGTACTAATTTAGTTGCTGGTGCCGGGTTATCACTGTTGTCTTCTTGATAGGTTGTAATGATTAAATTATAAGTCCTGGGATATAGCACAACTTAAGAAGACTCCACACACGTGGCATGGCTATCTCACCACGGGCCCCACACCCCCAATGAAGGTATAAAGAGCTTGGCACTTTTTTTCCAAACTCTGTGATTCAGAGTAGACACCACTCACCGCGGCGGCACCGTCATAGCCTTGGCCCCCCTAGGTGGCACCGTCATAGCCTTGGCCCCCGTCATAGCCTTGGCCCCCTAGGTGGCACCGTCATAGCCTTGGCCCCCCTAGGTGGCACCATCATAGCCTTGGCCCACGTCATAGCCTTGGCCCCCGTCACAGCCTTGGCCCCCTAGGTTGCACCGTCATAGCCTTGGCCCCCTAGGTGGCATCGTCATAGCCTTGGCCCCCTAGGTGGCCCTGTCATAGCCTTGGCCCCCTTACATCTCGACAGATCCAACCCTTGATCTCTTATGAAATAAACAATTATTGTCTTCAATTTCTGCAGCTCTTTGATCATGAATGTCATGGCGGCCTGGAAAACTTTCATTGATTTTAATGTAGGTCCGTTTTCCAGTTTCGGGGTCAATCTCAATCTTCATAACATGAAATACTTATTTGATCGCATTTGGAAATATCGTGATTAGTGTGTATGATGACTGCAAAAAATAAAAGCCTGTTTTCTCATATCTTCAAAGCATTTTCCGAATTAGTCGAAAGTGTCAATCACAGTAATTCATTCTGCACTCTCCGGCTTAAATATTTGGTTGTTTCACAGTTTAATAAAATCTTTCAGACCACCAGATTGTTCAATAAGCTCTTTCAGACCACCACATTGTTCAATAAGCTCTTTCAGACCACCAGATTGTTCAATAAGCTCTTTCAGACCACCAGATTGTTCAATAAGCTCTTTCAGACCACCAGATTGTTCAATAAGCTCTTTCAGATCACCAGATTGTTCAATGAGTTCATTCAGACTCTTGCCGCCACTTCCTGTGCACCAACTTACAATTCTTTTAGGCCTAGTATATATATGGCATCCTTCCGTCTACGTTAGACGATGGAGTAGCTATGTAGTGTAGTCCTACACTTCGACGAGTGGCTAACTAGGCCAATCCTGGAATGACAATCTCGACTGCATCTCTCGCAGGAGAATATTGATTCCCGGAAAGATTTTGACTTCCGTATTGTTCTTTTTCCTGCAAGGGCCTCGTTTCGCGTATCTTCTGCCTTTTTTACGCCTTCATACACTGCTGTTCGCCAGATGGAACGTTGTTTGGCAATGTTCTCCCATTCGTTGTTTTCAATATTGGCTTCCCTCATGCTCCTTTTGCAAACGTCCATATATCTCAGGCGTGGCCGTCTAATAAGTATTGACCCTTCTGCCAACTCTCCTTACAGCCTAGTAGGGCAGACAAATATTTTGCACAAAAAATTATTATTCTTTCTTGGCACCCACTTGCAATGCTTTTTCCTATTTTGGAAGATTGTTGATGGCGTCCTGAGTACATGGCGCCCGGGCAACTGCTGAACTTTGGCGTTCATTATAAGTATAATCATTAAAGGAAAAAAACTAGTTATTCGGTAATGAGTCTATTACCTATGTTTTTGTTTATTGTGTATTGTTTGTTTTAAAAAAACAAAAACATAAGTAATAAACTCATTACCGAATACATCGTTTTTTTTTTCTTAAATGATTATATTTATAAAGTGCACCAAAGTTAAGCCGTAGGTAAACTTTCGCCCTGTGCGAAGCACCCGTTCAGCGCCCTCTTCCCTGTCCCTGTATCCAAATTAAAAATGCAGCTGTCATTGTATGAAAACTTATTGAATGAAAAGCGATTGTACGAAAAATTTGAAGACCGTTTCTCGACCCCGGACCCGAGGTTCACACTTCACTATAATAAACTAAGCGAATTTAAATATTTACTGGGCGCCCCAGGTCCCCCCCCCCCTATGGCCAAGGCACCCTGTTCGAGGGCACATGTCACACACCCTAAAGACCGGCCCTGCGAGTGCCCTTGTTGCCAGTACCGTGAGCCGGTACTGGATGCGTGGGGGTTGCTGAATGGGGAAACAGTGGACTCTCCATAAAATCACCTCCTCACCTGTCATCCATACACGATGGTCGTTTTTTTTTTAACGCTACTGTGTCAGTCTAAAAAACCGACCCACAAGCCACAATATAGAAAAGTAGATTCCATTTTTGGGTACGCACTAAAATAAGGGATTACCCCATTTTTGTTAGTCTACAAAGAACCAGGCCACTAACCCAATTTTAATTTCAAGTGAAAAGAGAGAACGAATCAGTGCCAAACAAAAGAAGAACTTTGAATGACGTATTGTTGTATATCGTCCCTTGGATTTCACCTACGACAGTGGTTCTCAAAATGTTGTGAGCGGGGGCGCTAAAATGCACAATTATTTTAATTGTGGAGCCCCTAAAAGCTTGCTCTTCCCCGTTAAAAATTACATAAATTGCCATGACTAGGGCGGGTTCAGAATTTAGTTGAGGTTAATCAAAATGTAATCACCGTAGGCCTATTTGTTTAAAATATGCAAATTGAAAACCGGGATAAATCTAATTGGTGAAAACCACAATGAATAGGCAAATAGAGCTGTCGTATCTACGTCTCCCACGAAGAAGGAAAGCAGAACTTGTTAAAGGAAGGAAGAAACGGCTACTTTTTAAATTTTTATAATTCAAACTCTAAAGGCTGCTAATGAGTAGGCATCTCCTTTAGAAAAAAACAAACAAACAAAAAAAAAAAACAAAAAACACCGAGGTATTGATTTAGGAAAAAAAAATGTAATCGAATAATATTTATTTAATCTTGACAAATGATGCTAAATTAGTTCAAATAGACAATTGTTTTTAAAAGAAGAGTTAGACTTTTGTACAATAGAAACCTTAAGAGACATTTTAATTTATTATTGTTCTCTACTGCGTCTGCTGGGAAACATACATATTTTAGAGATAACGTTCAAGCATTGTGAAGAAACTGGTAGGAAACGCTCTGATTGTAGAGTGTCGTGATTCAGGGCTTCACATACCACATATTATCTTGTGTCATTATTCAGAACCTTCACGTACGATTTTCTTTTTTATTTCTTAGGAGACGTTAAAGTAGGCCCTCCTCTTGTCTTCATGCTATGGGTAGTTTATTACTGCCATGCCTCATTTACAGCATGAATAATATAATTATTTTTATGAAATAATCACATACACCAGCAAAAAAAAAAAAATTTTTTTTTTTTTGGAATTTTTTTTTTTTTTTTTTTTTTAAAGAAAGAAAGATCAAGCTTTTTGAGAACACCTGCAACAGATCGGCCCATTTCAGCTCCTTGAATTTGTATTGTTTGTCAGTGCACAGAGCTGTCAATCCGATTATGGGGGATCTCGTCTTGGTCTGATTAGACATGTTTAGCTGGCACAGTCCATAGTCGCATTATCATGGAAATATCCTT